GGGGGGGGGTGTTTGCATCTTTGTATCTTTTCTCTCACTCACACTGCTCTGATTCTAAATGTCTGTGAAGCTGAGCATGTTTTATTATCGCCACAGGAGAGAGAAATAAATTCACTGATGGAGAATTTCTACTCACAGTGGTGGATAGATGAGATAAGGCCGTGATATGGAGCAGCTCCTCATAAATTATCTCCAAATCATCTGCTGTTCTTTCAGATGGACTGGAAAACAGGAATCACATAGGGGAAATTATAAAAGCACCACACTGTCCTTTATTTAATGTCACTTCAGAGATTTAAAGCCGTACTGTTTCCTCAGAATCATCCTCATGTGGGCGTCAGGTCCGATCTGCGAGAGGAGGAGCAGGGTGTCCTGCAGCTCTTCCTGGCTTTCCTGCCTCTCCACTTCACTGGGCAGGGGGGCATCCTCCTGTTCATCGTCCAGGAAGCGGTAGAAGAGGTACTTGTCCTGGAAGATCAGCTCCTGGTCCACTGCATCAAAACAACACAACACAGACAGCACGGGGCCTAGATTTAAAATCTCCGTCGCTCACTCACGTGTGTGCAGACATAGGCGTCACACAGAGTCTCACCATGGTTGAGAACTCCTTCTTCCAGCAGCACCTGCCACATGCCCACAGCCTGGATACGAGAGTGGACACATGAGCTCTGCTGCATTTGCCAGTCGACCAACTCTGTCCCCACACAGCACTGCCTGGCAAAGACACAAGTCAATATTAGATTTGACATAAGGTCAGGAAGTTATGTAACATTCCTAATGTATAATATTAGTTAATTATCTGTTGTTGATTAGCTTTGTCTATCTGTTGTATTGTTTCTTGTGCCCAATAACTGACAGAAACTTTTATCACATGACAAGAAATTAAAATGTGACATATTTTTTTTTAAGTAACCCACACAAGCCTGCTCATGATAAAGTTACACATAATAATAAAAAAGTTCCACAGAACCCATAGAATGCAACCGTAGGCTGTAGATAAGATGGACGTCATGTCTCGACTCCCTCGTGGGATAAAGCCACAGTATCGAGGTCACACCAATACACAAGCCCGACGAATCACAAGTCAGCTGTCAATCACGACGTTTCACCCTGTTTTTATAGCATCAAATAACTAATTGAAACCGAAACTTGCTTTTGCATTTGAAAAAACGTCAGTGTGATAAGAACTACCAAAAATGTTTTTATTTTTAATTTGTCGAAGTGAACTTTTTAGTTTGGTCCAAGTCCCATCTGCTTACAAGGAGGAGGTGGAGTTTATGATGTAAAATTGCAGCCAGCCACCAGAGGGCGATCAAGATGCTTTGGCTTCACTATTGAGCAGCAGTCATGTCCATCTTTCTATACAGTATGGTTTGCTCTCACAAATCCTTTACATGTGATTGGATTTTTGGCCACTTGGGGACAGCACAACAAGTTGTGAATACAGAACTGACTCATGAAGTTGATAATAAAAGATCTCCGTCTTTTTAGGCTATCATGTTGCTATCTTTTTTAAGATTTCAAGCTAACGCTAGCTTATTGATAGCTTTCGCAAACGATTTCTTAATAAAATGTATTAAAATGTCAACCAACCTATATGTTTTCAGGTGGTACTTCCTGTCTCTAATCATGTGCGGCGCCCTTGACAGGATGGCGTTACGGAGAATCTTCCCAGCCCGCAAGATCTTCTCCGAAGGAACCTAGGCAATAGAGTTAAAGTCAAAATAAAGACAAAAGTAAAATGAAAGAACAATAGAGTCCTACTGAATAACAGGTGATAGCTGAGCCCTACATTACAGAAGTTGAGTTTACTACCTGAGAAATGCATTTAGGATTGGGTTTGGCTGGGCTTTCAATGAATGACTTCTGCAAAATAAAACGAAACAAAAAAATAAGTGGAACTGAAATGAGAAGACATCATGGATGACAGTGAAGCTGAGGCTCCTCTGGTGACAGAAAAATAAACGTTACAGAAAACTGTGTGAAATTAAAGGTTTGTTGTTACGGAACACAACAGTCCGGAAATTGGCAATAACAGACACCAGGAAAACAACAAGTCAAACGAGTCAGGTTAAAGAACAGGTGATTTTCCTCTCGCGGCAGACCACTGGATGTCTTTTCCACCGCTCCTGTATGACTCACAGTCGACATTATGTGTTTGTTAGCTGTCAATTTTAATTGAATTTATGGCTTTCTATATTGCTTCTGAGTTAAAGTAACAGTGTGTTCCCACACGGATCCCTTTAGTTGCTCAAACGGGACATAGATATTGTGTTGTAAGTGTTTCTCTTTCTCCACTGGGACCATTGGTGGGGGTGGGCTGCTGGGTTGTGACATTTAAAATGCATTGTGCATGCCCTAGAGAACAGTGTTAACTCATGCATTTATGTGAAGGCTTTAAAGCCTCATCTTTTATTAACAAGAGAATTAGTCCACTCAGTAGCCGAAGAGGTTGAGCTTTTATAGTTATTATTCATATATTGTATACGTTAAAGAGTTTTGTTTGTTACATAAGAGAAAAATATGTTATGAAGTCCACTTTCTATATAACTGCAAAATCTTGTTGCCATGTTGTTCCTTACATATAGAAACAAAGCAAAGGTCACCATAAATCTACTGCGGTGCCACGTTATCAACCCAGTGGCCAGGAAACGACAACAGGAGAAAGGTGGGACAGGAACTGTACAGGATGGAGACAAGAGCTGCAGTCACCTTATTTATATTTAGACTTTAAACAAACTTCACATTCCTCGTTGATTTCCAACCCAAAAAATGAGCCGTAGCTGAGGCTGCCAAAACTTAAAATGACTCTAGACGGGAACAAGGCAGTGACAACAGCTCTGTTTCCTCAACCCCTCAGCCCTTCTCTGTCTTTCATAACATGCAACATCACAGTTAGTGTTATACTAATTAATTAACACGTGTAAGATTGTACAGTGTCAAAGAAATTACCTTATTCTGGTGTTTGGAGACTGGAACAAATGAGTTGTTGCTGATGTTCTCTTTGTCCGGCATCCCTGTATGAGGAGAACACAGCATATATTACAATACACTGTAAAGTCACATAGAGGAAGAACACGAGGATCAATGAAAAGTGGGTTAAGAGCTTGAGCTTGTCCCATTTTTGCTCAATCCTCCTCTATTTAACCCTGATAAACTGTTCTACAGATCCCATGCAGGGTCCACGCTTCACTCAGCTTTATCAGCTCATTCCAACAAGTAAAGTTTCCTCCAGCAAACAAGAGGCTGCATCTGATGTACCATAAAAAGACAATTCAATCTTTGAAAATGTTTTACTGTAAACATTTTTGTTGTTGCTTCAGGGCAACAGAATAAATGCAAAATACATTAAGTTAGTTTAACTTTCTTTCGGACTCATATAAAAATATAATTATGAAAAAAATAAATATAGAAAATAATATGAATTATAAAATATAAATATATACAACAAACTTTTGATTTGCACCTGTCCATGTTTGAAGTTAAGCAAAAAATGTATTAAATGTATATAAGTATTATAAGTATTCAGAGCTTTAAGCCTGCTGCACTGTGCTGCTCCCCTCCCTCCAAGACAAATAGCATAGTATAATCAGTCAAGGTTGCTCAGTCACAACTGTATCTGCAGGGAGAAGAAAAACTCAGCTATTCTTAGCAGTGCCCCTCAGACTGCTGATACCACAGAACAGACAGAATCCGCACAATGTAGAGAAAGTGGTACACGGCTGGATTTGTAACATTAGACTTGGGGCTACACGTCCAGGAACAAAGCATCTGTATCAGCCTCAGCTCTGTGGACAAAGCTCTGTGTGATTCCTGGTCACTGAAGATTCTTCTATATTTTACCATCACGTTGGATACAATGTGTTTAAACCACATGACTGCTGTGAAAACCAACATTCTGAAAGGAATATAATATAAAAAAATATAGAATCTGTGTGTGAACAGATGGGTCGCTCCATATTACCGTTATATACTACATTATTACTATGACTAATATGTCTATGCATCCTACATTACAAAAACATGCTGGGTGGCAGGCTCTGGGATCAGCGACTCTAGAAAAAGAGTCGCTGCTTTTATATATCTGCTCTTTATATAGAATATGTATGTGTGTATATCTATTTATTTGCTGTAGGTCCTTGTGGACTTTGTGCTTGTTTGTTGCTGTGAAGTTAACGTAGCTGTCCATCATTGTATTCGTGAAGCTGTCATGTTGGTACATGTGACATGATGGCATTCATTGAAGTGTCACATCATTTCAATCACATCAGTAGAGATGCGGCATGTTGAACGCATGTGAGAGCAGAACGCAACATTAGACTCATACAATGAAAAGTTTGTATATCCTGGGGAAGAAAAGTTCTTTCACTCTGAACATTTCAAAGATGAATGATGCAGTAGAACACTTAATAAATGTGTGTTCATGCTTGGTGCTCAGGTGCAGTCATGCTCTCTGTATGAGCAGAGTGAGCGAAACAATGCTGACTTTAAAAGCATCCACCTGTTAACACCGAGGTGCAGTGAAAGCCTTGTGTTTCTGTGGTAAGAAAACTGTTGAAAACATGATTTATTCATTCGACTCAGCCACCACGGTTACAAAACCAGCGAGCTGCTGTGGATGCACTGTACAGGGAAGTGCATGCGCCTCCAGCTGCTGATGCTCCTGGGATTTCTGTCTTGGTGAATTCATGCATAGAGTTCATACTGTAAATGCCCTGCACTGTAGGTTGTTCTGCGGTTACAGTACCGCTCCAGAGCTCATAGCAGTGATGAACACTGATGCAGACAAATCTACTTTTGAAAGCTTCTAAAAAAACACTGATCAAATTGTTTCTTTATGATGAGAAGTGGTTCGATGTGACATATTTAAAAAGCTAGTGTTGTTTGGAACATATATATGTCCATTATTTATGGCCCTTCTCTATAACTGCCTATATTAAACACTGCCAGTAAAACCATCAGACTCTGGATCCCCTCACTGCACCCTGCTGCTCATCATTTTTATGGTACATGACTTTAAAGCATGTTAAGTGCTCTGTTTGAGCAAAGATGAGTCAGTATCCAGTTAAATTGCAACAGAAAATAAAATAAAACTATCAGCCTTTATCACAATGTGACAAGATAAAAAAAATAGAGGGTCGGACAGTAATGGAGTTAGACAGTGAGAATGAAGTCATCCACTGGACGGAAGAATAAGTGCATAGAAACCTTGCAAAATATATTGTTTTATTCTCAATTTAGCTTGTCTTCACCCTGATCTCTCACGTAGGCTCTCACGTAACACAGAACTGTAACATAAACAGGTTTGTAAACTGATCATGTGGGCCAGTATATGACAACTTTCTTAAACTTAGGGTCAAAAGGAGTTTGTATTTTCTCAACTTTTTATTTTTTTTAGCACGGCTAAGAGTAGAGTTAGTGCTTTGTGTTCTGAGACTACCTGTACAACCAGGTGTGCTGTGTCTATATGAAGTATTTTAACAGTTACATGTAACATATACTACAATCTGTCTTGTGTGAAATTGAATACAGCTCCTGATAACTGTGACAGTTAGGAATAAATGTCAAGTAAACGTAAATCACTCAGGGCTACTTACTTATCGCACTACAACCACTCTCCATCACACCGTAGGGTGGAGCGAGGAGTCCAGCCAAGCACTGAGGATATTTCTGTAAAAAAAAAAAGATAATAGAACATTATCAAATGTCATCAGGCACAGCAGATCTAGTGCCTGTAGTTTAGCATGTTAGTAAACCACAAAGCTGAGGCTGATGGGACACTTATTAGTTTAGGTAGAGGCCGAAACCATTGAACAAAGATGGACGATATGATGGATCCCCGAAAGTGAAGCCAAAGTGTCTCCATTGCCCACTGCGGTACTCCATGGCTGGCTGCGGTATAGGTCATAAATGCTGTCTTCTCCATGATAGCAGATGGGATAAAGATCAAACCATGCATACATGTCAAATATTATTTTTCAGAGATTATTTCGATCATTTTGGGTCATTCTTACGAAACTGGTGTACAATCAATGGGTTTGGTTTAAATAAGTCATTTGGTGCAAACGAGTGAATCATCATGATTGACAGCTGAGACTGTCCCAAGTGGAGACGTGTCATACAGTCTTTTGTTTAACAAGTACAGCCGGGGCCTGAGAGAGAGTTGATAGTTATTGCACTGAACCCTGTAGGAAAACATTTCTTACATTCTCAAATTAACTCACTGCCAATGAGAGGTTCACTGTAATTAGTAAACCATCTGTGTCTTTCACGTTTAACAGATGCAAAGACATAATATAACTAAGGTGTCAACAGTGCACATCCAGCTGGGAGTCTGTGTTGCATGTTATTTCTCAGAGTCTCTTCCAAGAAAAAGAAGGAAAAAACAACAACCCTTCTGTCATCATTTGCCTCCAGGATGAAAGGATGAGAAGAAAAGTCAATTGGAGTTTGGGGTGTTGGTTGATATTTCGTCCTCATCAGTTCTAACACGCAAATGTGAGTCGGGTTCAGTGAGAAATGATCACAAAGCTTAGTTATTAAGGACAAAATGTGCATTTGTTGTTCATTAAATACAAATTTGTCTTGATTCTACTTCCCAGTTACATTTATCTCATTTGTCTCTCGGTTTTTCTCTGTCATGCAGATTACATCTTTTGGATTTGTGCGTACCCACTTATGTTGTACATGCTGCAGAGAACCACAGAGCAAACAGAGCATGACAGTACAACTGTATGTGTCTTATACCATCACTGTGCCCCGCAGCATCACAGACGTTATGCAATGAACATCATACTGCACCCATGCTCTCATATAAATGTCACTGGTGGACTGAGAGGTAAATGTCGTGTTATGAACCATGTGACCCAGATAAATGCAAAACCATTAAAGTCATTGCTGTCTGATGCTAAAATGTGAAATCCTTGGTTTATTATGATAATTTGATATTTATGCCCTGTCTTTTTATAGGATTTTTTAAAGAAAATTATCTTGTTACTTCAGAAAAACTGCACGGCTGTGGTTCTCTCTTTTGTATCTGATTATTTTCAAACATATCATATCATATTTCTGATCCAAATAATATATAGCTTGTGGCACAGTGTTGTAGGGGTTAGCACTGTTGCCTTACAAGTTTGAATCCCAGATTTTCTGCGTAGGGTTTGTTCTCCCTGTGTCTCAGTGGGTTTTCTGCAGGTTATCCAGCTTCCTCTCTAAATTGACTGTAGATGTGAAACTGAGTGTGATGGGTTGTTTGGTTCTGTATGTTGGCCCTGTTAGATGCAGTTGACCTGTCCAATGTGTACCCTGTCCGCTGGGATTGACTCCAGCTCATCAGATAAGAGGTATAAATAATGGATGGAGGGATGGATGGAAAACACGAGTCATTGTTTTGTTTTATCTTCCTCCTTGATGGAGGAAATGCTTTCAGCTGTTTAATAGTTTATTAGTTTATTAGCAAGGTTACCCAAAAACAATTCAGCTGATATCCAAATCTTGTGGAAGGGTGGGTTTTTTCACATTTTGGACATTTTCTCAAATAACGGAATAATTCATGAATCATAAAGAAAAAACACTGAGGGACTGTTATGAGTGTGTGTAATGTGGTGCAGCTTGATTGAATTTAAGTAGGCTGTTTGGCTCGGCGGAGGTTTGTGCTCTTCTGAGTGCCATTCTAGTTTTTGTGTGTAAAACTACACTTTACTGTAATACAAGCTGATTCTTAAAAGTTATTTTTTAAACAATTCATGAAATGTAAATGGAAGCCTATGAGATTATTCTGTAGTCAAAGATGACCAGAAACTGATTACGTGCCACAGAGGCTGTGATCAGTCAATAAAAAGCTGATAGAGGACCACTTAGTGACCTGCCAGGTCTCTGTGGCCTCCTATCTCCTGGTCAGAGGAGACTGAAAGCTAGAATTCTCCTGCCATTTGTTCCTGGATGGTAATGTGCTCTCAGAGGTCAGGTTTTTAAATTTAATTCCACCCTCTGAGGTCAGTTAATCACTTTAGAGACTCTTCTGTGGGGCACAGCTTTTACCCCTCAATCAAGACGCAGTTTGGAAATGTTTCAGCGAGGTTTTGGAAAAACTGTAGTCAACCCCATACTCAGATTATGAATGTAATTATCAGATTAATTAATCATTCAAGTGAACCGATGCAGTGAAGCTTCCAGAGTCACTTCACCAAGACAATCTTTGTCAACAACCAGAGGATTTAGGATTAGGGAGGAGCACTTTAACTGAGCCGCACAGAAACAAAAGAACTCATCCCCTCTGAACTAATAAAGCTGCTCTCCCTGAGGAGCTGAGTCCGCTACACATGAGGCTGCTGTTGTTTCAGAGGAGGATTACAAACATGTCAGGTGTGTAAAAAGCACTCAGTCTCTGTTTTGTCAGTAATGATGTCTCTGACTCTTAAAACACATAATACACCTGTTTCCATAAGCAACTGTTTCACAACCTCCACTGTCGGCCGTTGAGTCTCTTCAGTTTACACTCTACTTGTATTAGTATATTTTTATTGTCTATTTGNTGGAGCCTTTTTTTCCTTTTGAAAGTTACTTGGGAAAATAAATTGACATCCTGCATCATATTAGTTTAATACTGTTCCGCTGTTATACCCCCTTCCTTTGTTGTTATTTGTTTACCTGACACCCAGAAGTTAGAATATTGCTTTATAGTTAAATGAATAGTACAATGATAAGATTGTTCCCACTCTCACACATTATTGTTGGATCAATCAAATAAGCCAATTTCCCAAAATGTGAAACTGTTCCGTTGCATGAATCACACATTGGCCTTTATCATTTTAACTCCACGTGATTATTAGAGCATTAAATCCATTCAAACAACAGCTAGAGAGAATAATACTGCAAGTGTACTGGAAAATAATGAAATCTTCTAATGAATACGTAAAACACTGTTGACATCCTGATTAGGTTTATAAACCTTGTTTAGAAAGACATAAAAAGCTAAACGTGCTTGCTTTGTCACCCAGGAATGCAAATTCAAATATGCATGACAACGTTTTATGTCAGTAAAACATCCACTGGGTGAGATTTGTGCAGCTACTTCCCTACAGTCCATCATTAAAAACCATAACACTGACAGAGGTTTTCTTATCATCCATTATCTCCAGTTGTGGAGGGACAACAGAGCAGTAAATCACTTTTTAGGGGTTTTAGGATCACTAAGTTGCTGCAGCAGAGTCAGAAACAAGCTCCACTGGGACTTACATGCATCTCTGTGCATAAAATCCACAGTTGTATTAGTGGTGCTTAGGTTTCTGAACACATACGATGTGTAAAGCACAGAGGAGTTGGGCCTTTAGGGTTATTCTACTGAGTCAAATAATCCGTTCATCACGTAGATGTAGTCAAACAGATTATATAGTGACTCTGTCTCCAACAAACTACTGTGCTATTTCTATAAACTGATTCCATCACATTACACGATGATGATCTGATGCTTTAGATTAATTTACCCTGAGTGGCTGTTTCAAACACTTCAGGAATTAGACCGATGAAATGAAATGATACATCTAATATATCTATAAGGAGCATAAAGGACCCTTGACAAATATTGATCAGACTGCAGAGCAATCATACTTTATACTGCTCGGTGTATTTAGATGGTTTCTACAAAGCCTTGACTTTGGTTGAAATTTGGTGACTGACTGTTTCTTACTATTTTCCTCCAGTAAATAAAAAATGGTCTATATTTATTTTCCAATGTTTTTCTGCTGAAGCTTTACAGTACAGTTCTGCCATTCACCTGTTCACACACACATTCATACAATGCAGCTATGTTCATTCTCTATTACTGAGATCGAACTGCCTGCCTTTAGGTGACTGAACGACCTAAGGTCATGTTTGATTCTCTCCTTCCTTGTGCCTTTGACTTTTATCGATGAACCAGATTTTTTTAAGTACACAAAAGAAAACATACCCAGAGTATTGTCTGGCTGATAAAATACTAATATTTACAATGACTGAAAATATATGATGATGTCATTGCAGGAAACATGATACACAAATGAGCAATAATATTTCTGTTTTGAAAATGAATTGATTGTTGATTATTTTCTGAAACAAATGATGACAAAGATCACAAATTATTTTTGATTTACTTGAGAGGCATATGTAGTGTTCTCAGGTATCTCTGATTTGATTCTGAAATCATTCACCACACAACTTTTAACATGAAATAATAATATAAACATTAAAAAAAACATATAGAATTGTCTGCAATAATTTATGAACCATTCTGTTTCACCTTAATTTGGTTTGGTTGTGTTTATTTGCTCTCATACTGACTTCACTGTTTAGAGCAGCAGCAGCAGAGCTCTCACATGTCCTGTACCATCACTGTGTCATGTTAACTCACGCATCATGTGAATAAAAGCATCATAAACACTGTAAACATGAAGTGAGAAACTGTTGAGTGTACAGTCCTATATCTCTGTGCGATTTACATTGTTGCTATGTTTGGAGTGATTATGCATAAGAGTCCACAGATAAGTCCACTCTTATCTCTGTCATAACGATAGATCAGTCAAGAGATTAACCATGTCATGTCGGTGCATCCTCGGTCTTTCATGCCTGAGCACATGTGGCATTGTGAGCATCAACATGCATGAATGCACTCTTGTATTTTAAATAATTCACCC